AATGAGGCTGATTTATAAGAGGAGACTAAATAAATCAGGTTGCTACTCTAAGAACTTGAGGGGAACTTCCAAATGACTTGCAAAGACTCATAAATGAAATAAATTTGTGCTCTGGATTCTTCTGCAGCTTGCCCATTTCCAGAACCTTAGCTTTAGAATTTCTCTGAGGTTTCCATCACCTTAACTGTGTACCACCTATTGCTGTGCTTCATTAGGGAATAGTTCATGGATCCTATTCTTGGCATCACTGTTTACTGTGTTGGCTATTAGATGTTTCCCTTTTAGTTTTGGAGCCATTTTTATTCACTGAGGTTGGTATTGAGTGAATTAAAGTTTAGGTGTTACATAAACAGAAAACCAAATATTGGTTAAATTAACATGATTGTAACTCAGTTAGATTTAAAAAAATATTATGAAACTCACACCTGCAGGTGACATTGCCAATATGGATATCAACTCACTAAACATAGTGAACCTATTACGAAGTTATTTTTTTTTTCTAACTAGGTGGATGATTTCTGTCCTCAACATACAGCATCTAGCCAGTACCTGACACATACTAATGGACTTTTTAAAATTAAGTAAAATGTATGTAAACTTTTAAAATGTGTTTGCTGCCTGTGAACCTGCCTCTTCAGACTCTGTTGGTTTCCATTATTATTTATAAGTAAACTATATACTGAGAGGTTCTTTAGAAATAGGATCAGAATGAAAAGAATGGTGCCTTCAGCTTCTTACCTTAGAGTATAGAATTTCACATGGTAAATTACATTAACTAGAAGGGAATGTAGAAATAAAAAACTATAAATTACAAGACTGACCTTTTTTTATAGGGCTGTGAACAATTCAAATTATGGTTGGAGAGCCCTGAGACTGTTAGCACGGAGAAGCCCTCACTTCTTTCAGCCAACCAACCAGCAGTTTAAAAGTTTGCCAGAATATCTCGAAAACATGGTAATAAAGCTCGCCAAGGAATTACCAGTAAGTAATATAGATCAAATTTTTCATATCCTTTAGTTGACATTATCTTACTTAAAAACTGCTATCACTGTTTGAGCAAAGAGCTGAATTTGGAGTTTATCATGTGAAAAAAAGTAATGATCCACAAACCTCCAGGTTTTAGAATGAGGAAAAAATGCATTTGACTATACATTTATAGGAAGTACATTAGTTGATAAAGTAACATAGTTAATTTTTTATACAGCATATAATTTAATATAAGTCCACAATACTTTGGGTAAACTATTATCATTTTTCCTGTTTGCCAGTGCATTATATTGTCTTTTATCAAACACAGGATCTAAGGGGTAACAGTAGGCAACTTGGCCTATCTTTCTACTCTGTTCTCTTTTCTAGCACAATTTTCTCATTGTATTACTACAATATGGTAATAACTATACTGTGTGCATAAAACCTAATTAAATTACTCAAAATTTTTTAAGGAGACGGTTGCTCCCCTACTCTTCCCTAAACCATTGTTACTATATGCTAGGTATTTGCAAATCATCTTGCCATACGTTTTACTGGCTCCCTTCTTCTTCCCAGGTCGTGGGCAAGGGGAGTCTTTCCAACTCTCAGGTCTTCCCCGTCCACTCCTTCTCCAGGTTAACACTCGCATTTGTGATCCTTAGCTGACATTCACATTAACACTCTCAGGGTTCAAGTTGTGGACCCTGTACTTGGAATCTCACAACCACTCTTATCTAAACAAACAGTAGCCTCAGTTATCTTTTTCTAGAAGTTGGCATTCTTGTAAACATTCCTCTTACACATTTTAGCCTCCTTCTGAAGAAATAAAAACAGGTGAGGATGAAGATGAGGAAGATAATGATGCTTTACTGAAGGAAAATGAAAGTAAGAATTGAATTTTCTTGGCTATTTTACAAAATTGGAAAAGATTGGGGTTCTTTGTTGAGAGGTACGTTATTTGATCTACTTCTCAACTTCTACCATTTATCTCAGCTGTTTCTTATAGTGAGGAATTGAAAACATTGCTTGACAATAACTTTTAAAATATTACATTTTATACAATAAAATTTGGAAGTGATAGAAGGGAAAGTACTTATATTTGAAGGCAACTCATACCTCTGTTAATTCTTGGGGAGGGAGATAGGGAGGAGCAGCTGCTTTCAGGGGAAGCTTTCATAATTATAATAGAGGCAACAGCTTTAGCTTTGATTATTGATTTCCTAATGATCATGATTATAAGAACGGTATTCAACCCATGAAAAATATGAAAAAGGGGGCCAGCCCTGTGGCCTAGTGGTTAAGTTCAGTGTGCTCCACTTTGGTGGCCCAGGTCCGGTTCCCAGGCGTGGACCTACATCACTCATCAGTGGCCACGCTGTGGTGGTGACCCACATACAAAATAAAGGAAGACTGGCACAGATGTTAGCTCAGGGCAAATCTTCCTCAGCAAAAAAAATATATGTGTGTATGTGTATATATATATATAAAAAGAAATTTTTTTACTTTATCTCAGTGGCCCTGTTATCTTCCCAGTTCTGTTGTGTACTTTGAATTGGACATGCCCTGGTACTTTGTACATAATTGACATTTCCTGTGTTTTCTAGGTCCTGATGTTCAGCGAGACAAACCTGTAACAGGGGAACAAATAGAGGTATTTGCCAACAAACTGGGTGAACAATGGAAGATTCTGGCTCCCTACTTAGAAATGAAAGACTCAGAAATCAGACAGATTGAGTGTGACAGCGAAGACATGAAGATGAGAGCTAAACAGCTACTAGTTGCCTGGCAAGATCAAGAGGGAGTACATGCAACACCCGAGAATCTGATTAACGCACTGAATAAGTCTGGATTAAGTGACCTCGCAGAAAGTCTAACTAATGACAATGAGACAAATAGTTAGCTTATTTCTTCTTTTTTTTTTTTATTAAAACTGTGATAAGATTTTGTTACCAAGCAGCATTTGATAAGAGGTCCAATGGTTTTGGTAAACAATAAACATTTTTATAACAGTTGTTGTACAGTTGGCTGGTGCTCCAAGAACAACAGAACGCATATTGGCTCTTGATAACTGACCTCAGGGTTTGGCGGGAGGGGGAAGTAGGTTGGGAAAATGGCCAAAATAAAGTAACCTAATGGTCACATAATATATTTTTGTTAAATAAATTAAATGTATTTATAATGAAGTCAAGAAGCAATATTTAGAAGCATGGTACTTCCTAAGGAACTATGCCAAATTAGTTTCCTGCATGCTGTTAGCAGTTTTAACTTGCTATTCTGAAAATCCCAGAGTAAGACTTTTCTGAAACCATATGACTGCTCTAGTCTCATTTATGCTTTAAAGCAGAGGATCAGCAAACAATAGTCTGTTCACCACCTGTCTGTAAGTTAAATTTTACTGGCACATAGCCATGCTGATTGTTTTAAGTGTTGTCTATGGCTCCTTTCACACTACAACAGCAAAGTTAAGTAGTTGCAACAAAGACTTTATGGCCTGCAAAGCTGAAAATATTTACTATCTGGCCCATTACAGAAAAGGTTTGCCAACCCCCAACTTAAAAAGAAATGGAACCAGCCTTACAAAAATTATTTAACCTCTCAAGTCGTTAAAATAGGGATGCATACCACAGGGGTTATTGTGAAGTTCAAATGAGACGTATGTGAAAGCACCCTATAAACAGCAAAGCACTATGTAGTAATGCCTGGAGAGAGTACCATCTATCTACTTTTCCTATTCCCACATAAGCGTTTCCCCTTAGGGCTCTAAGATTAGGTCATCGTTGTTTTGAAACCTGAAGAGAGGCTACTAGGTGTGTATCACACGATAAATGTTCTTGCTTGGGCTTAACTTCACTAGCTGGTCCAACAGTGATACAGCACAGCTCTTATACAGAAAGGGCCTTGGTGCTAGTGGCACAGCATATAAGGCACGCTCAGGAATCAAGACATTTTCTTGCCAACTCTCCCTTCTCAAAAACCTTATATGCAAGGTTAAATTCTAAAATAGCCTTGTTAAGTTTAAAACAACACTGGTATAAGTCCAATTTCTTATACTTAAAAAATCTTTGGAATAATGCTTTTTTGGATCAATCAAGTTTTTTTAATGATGACAATTAAGGAATTACAATTCTAAAATTCTAATTCCATACAAAGTTTACATACTTTGTTCTAAACCTACCTCACCTGATCTAGTATCTACAGCATCCTACAAGTCAGAAAATCTGAATTCTAATTGCTAAATTTATGTCCTCAAAATCATTCAGACTAAATAAGACAGTGAATTAAAAAATTCTGCAAACTTACAAGCTTCATACCAATATATATAAAAGAATCATTACAATTCTTACGGTCTCATCCTCCCTATTCTATTCTGCACCCTCTCCCAAGGCAGAGGGAGTGCTGATTGCCAATAATTAATTTAGCTGAAGAAGCTATTTACAAAGAAGTTTCCCTGAAATGCTTATTTTATCCACTAGCATTCTCAGATTATATCACATTGTTCAAACTTGAGGAAAATGGCCATTATTCTCCAGGAATCTAACAGTTATCAGTGCTATGCTCTGCAGAGCATTTAAAACAGCATAAGCAAAGGTATGAGATTTCATGATAATCCCCAAAACTTTATTATAAATATCTAACTCAAAAATTAGAGACAAATTAGCTAACATTCAATCCTTTCTCTAATAATCAAGGCTCCTGAAACAAAAATAAGGAACTAATTAGAATGTATTAAAATATAAGAAATCTACCATATTGAAATACCTCATACTCTTGGTATTTCTACCATGACTTTAAAAATCATTGATATTAAATTCTGAGATAGACATTAAGATTTTGGGAATTGACAGGAGAGTAAAAACAAACACCAAGGGAGCCAAGGAGCAGATCTTTTGATAACATTGTTGCATTCAGCATCCAAAGAACTCAATTACTTTTACAATTTTGTATTTCTTTTTAAACAGAATATAATGCTAGCAGGCAAACAAGGTAACATTTTTAAATGGATGCTTAATAACAGCAGAGTAAAACTAACCATCTGCATAAACTGTATAGTATTAAACATATCTGAACTTTAGCCAAGCTCCAACACTCAATAGACAAAAGACTTGAGGTCAAAAGCTGTTAATCCCTTTTTTTGTTGTTTTTTTATTAAATATCCTCATTTTCTAAAAATTAGCAACCAGAGCTTGTCAACATTTTTTTTAGGGTTGATTACTACAAAACCATTACCAAGTTGAATGTACAAACCATAGTACATCAGAGAGACAGTAATAAATGTATAATCAAATGTACTATTATTGATCACAATTTATTTTAAAGTCATGAAAAGCCAGCAACAGTCAGGCTGGACAAATACTTGATTGTACCCATGTCTCCATGGGATGTGGACAGCAGCACTGAGTTACAAAATGAGAGCAACACTTAGTTCCTTTCCACCTTTCTGGCAAAATTTTTGTTAGATAAGGCAAAGGATAGGCAGCTACTGAATTACCGGTGGTTTGAACCATGCAAGAACAACAACGAATAATAGAGAAATAGGTGTGCAATACACATTTGATTGTTGAATCTTGGGCTGAAAAAGGGAGAAAAATTATCATCACAAAAGGTAATGTTTGAAAGGCATTTCAACTCAGAATTTTTAAAAATTAATGCAAGAAATAAGCTTTTTAAAAATGTCTTTCTGCCATCTTTACACAGGGCAGCACAGTCCAAAGGCAATTTTCTCTTTTCTGTAATTTTTTAGGTTGATACATAGAGTAGTCTGCTTCTGCCCTCTTTTGTTCCACATGAGGGGAAACACATAAAACCACCTAAATATCTTGCTCTAAAGCTCTGGATTATAGAAGTGATCAACAAATAACATTTATTTCACACCTAAGCATAAATAGCTAAAATGAAGATTACTATTCACTTTCCTCTTCCATTATTTCAACTCTGCGAGGCCCATAGAGTAGAACATAAGCTATATGCCAGTCTCCACCACCAGAAAGCCGCAAGATATCCTCTGGTGTCACAATGCTGACCTTATCATCATCAAACTTAATCCATTCGTCTAAAGAATGAGAAAGGAAAATGAAATTAATATCCTAAGCAACTTTACAGAGTTACATTTCAAAAAAGGTACTGTGTAATTTTATGCACAGCAATATTCTATCTGTCATACCAACAGTTCTCAAAGTGTAGTCCAAGGACTACTCAGGTTCAAGACCATTTCAGCGGTTCTGTGAAGCTTACAGCTATTTTCATACCACTAGTAAACCATTATTTGCTTTTTCCCCCTCATTCTCTCAAGTGCGCTTTGGAATCCTCCAGAAGCTACACAATGGGATAAAGCAACAGACTGAATGCAGAAACAGATAGGAGAATCCAGCTGTCTCCTAGTAAGCCAGACAAAACAGACTTATAAAAATGTAAATCAATATCATTTCTTGCTAATTTTTTTTATTCTGGAAATTATTTTTATCTTTAAATGTTTTATTTACGTTAATATGTAATGGGTTTATTACTGTCAGTTTAAAATGAATTTATTTCTCAGTTTTAATTTCCATTATAGTAAATATTAAGATAAATAATCCTCATGAACAAAAGGTTTTTGGGGGCCGGCCCAGTGGCGTAGCAGTTAAGTTCACACGCTCTGCTTTGACAGCCCTGGGTTCACAGGTTTGGATCTCGGGCACAGACTGACACACCGCTTGTCAAGCCACGCTGTGGCTGCGTCCCATATAAAGTAGTGAAAGATGGGCACAGATGTCAGCCCACGGCCAGTCTTCCTCAGCAAAAAGAGGATTGGCAATGGGTGTCAGCTCGGGGGTAGTCTTCCTCACAAAAAAAAAAAAAAAAAATGTTTTGGGGGTCCACAATAATTAAGAATGTAAGGGGATCCTGAGACCAAAATGTTTGAGAACCACTGTGCTATCATTATACTAAACAAACTGTTAAAATGACATGTAACAATTGAAAAAAATAGAATCTTTACCTTGTTTCCTCTTCACCCATGATACATAATGACCTGAAGAGCTAGACCTTCCCTGATGTGTTAGCACTGCTTGTAAATCATAGTATCCACAATTATTGGAGCCAATGTCTACAGAAAGACATAAATCCAATTATATTAGACAATGAACAGACATTTGCTTGCTCAAGCTAGGTAACAAGCAAGAACAACTCTGAAGTTTAGCCTAGGGAAGTATTATTAGAATACAGTAAAATACCACTGTCCAATCCAAGTTAAGGCTTCATGAAAGATGTTTTAAGAAGGATGATATCATTCACAGAACTATAGGCTAAAAAGTGATTTTTACTGTATGTCATATTAAGGTAAATTATACTTCAAGAAACAACATTTTTTCCCATAAGCATGATATCTGAAAAAAGATGTGGCAAGACAGTAATTTTATCTTTTAAAAACACACACACACACAATAACTCAATTGAAAATGAAGATTTCACTTACCATCAGCAAAAGAAAAGGGTTCATACTTAACTTCTTTCTGGGGACTACTCTTTTTGTCACTCTGAGGGGAAAAAATATTTAATTTTAAATCATGATATTGGAATAAAATTTGTATTCTCAATGAGTATTCATTTCCACAACTATTTACTGACTACAGTGCAAAGTACTGACACAAATATTGTCTACCTTACAATTTAATAAAATAACTACACATTAACATAAAACTGTAAACCCAAAGGTCCTACACTTTAATAATATACAATCTTGTATATATAGTATATAGTAACAGACCCTCTGATTATAAGAACCAATTTTAAACCACTAAAGCTAGAGCATACCGGTGAATATAGCAGTACAGATAAACAGTGCTCTTGGGTAGAAAAGGAAAACCCACATCTATAATTCTACCAAAATATTATCAAAACACACATAGGTGAAAAGACAAAAAAGCTGCCTCAAAACAAAAAAAGGGAAGTTGAATACTACAACTAATATTAAATCTACTAAGCCATGGCCACCTGCCACTTCAGCCCAAATGAACAGAAATATTTAATTCAGTAAATATTTACCTATATTAAAAGAGGCATGATTTACTACTTTAGACAAGGATCTTTAGTGGAACTCCCTGAATCAACCAATTTCAATGTGTAATACAAAAAGATTAAACAACTTATCTAGGCATATGGGCACAAAGTTCTTGAAAACTATAATGGTAATGAAGACAATGCAAGCAGTTTCAAGATAGCCAGAGTGATAAGAGAAAGGATCCTCAACAAAAAATGGCAACTAGGTCAACCACTTGTTTTTATATATATAATGTAATACCTAGAGCAACCACAAAAAATAGCTATACAAAGAAATACATTTGAAAACATTATAGATAAATCAAACAAGAATTCTAAAAAATGTTCAAGTAACCCACAAGAAGGCAAAAAAGAGAAATGAAAAACAGAACAAACAGCAAAATATTAGATTTAAACACTAACATATCAATAATTACACTGAGTACAAATGGTCTAAATATACCAATAAAAAGACAGGTTAACAGAGCAGATCAAAAAACATGACCCAACTATATGCTGTCTATAATAAACTGTCTTCAAACATAAGAGTATGGGCAAATTTAAAGTAAAAGGACGGAAAAAGATATATCATGCAAACGTTAACAAAAAAAACCATATTAATAAAATTAATAAAGGCAATATTAATATCAGATAAAGTAGACTTCAGAGCAAAGAAAATTATCAGGGACAGAGGGACAATGCATAATAATAAAAGGGTCACTCCACCAAAAAGACATAGCAATCCTAAATGTGTATGTGCCAAATAAGAGCTACAAAATAGGCAAAGCAAAAGCTGACAGAACTGAATGAAGAAACGACACCTCCACAATTTTAGTTGAAGACTTCACCGTTCCTCTCTCAACAACTGATAGAACTAGACAGAAAAACAGCAAAGCTATAGAAAAATGCAACAACACCATCAACCAAGTGGATCTAATCAACATCTATAGAACATTCCACTTAGTAGAATACACATTCTTTCCATGAAACACTTACCAAGATAGATTATATCTTGAGCCATAAAGCAAACCTCAACAAATTTAAAGGAAAAGGACTGCCGAGAGGGAAATTTATAGCACCAAATGCATACATTAGAAAATAGGGGAAAGTCTGAAATAAAAAATCTAAGTTCCCATATCTCTTAAGAATCTAGAAAAAGAGAAAAATCAACCCAAAGCAAGCAGAAAAAGCAAATAACGAGTAGAAGTCAATAAAACTAGACACAGAAAAATAATAGAGAAAAATCAATGAAACAAACAGCCAGTTCTTTGAAAAGATCAATAAAATTGACAATCCTCTAGCAAGACAAAGGAAAAATAAAGACACAAATTACCAATATCAGGAATGATCAGGATATATATCACTACACACCCTGAAGACATTAAAAGAATTAGAATCCTAGGAACAACTCTACATACATAAAATTGACAGGCTGGATGAAATGAATCAATTCCAAGAAAACACAAACTACCAAAACAAACCCAATATGAAAGAGATCATTTGAAGAGCCCATTCCTACAAATGAAGGTGAATGTGTAATTTAAAAACTCCTGAAAAAGAAATCTCCAGGCCCAGTGTTTCACTAGACAATTGTACCAAACATCTAAAAAAGAATTAATACCAATTCTCTTTTGGTATTAATTAGAATTAATACAATCTCCCTCAAAAAATAAAAGAGGAAAAAAAGAAACAGCTAATAAACCAGTTCAGCAAAGTAAAGGATATAAGATCAATATACAAAAATCAATGAATAATCTAAAATTGAAATTAAGAAAGCAATGCCATTCACAAAAACATCAAAAAGAATAAAATACTTAGGAATAAATTTAACCTAAGTACAAGACTTGCACATTAAAAACTATAAATTAAAGAAAACTTACATAAAGACATCAAGTTCATGGACTGCAAGACTTAATATTATTAAAATGGCAATAGTCCCCACATTGATCTATACATTCAACGCAGTCCTCATCAAAATTACAATTGCTATTTTTGAAAAAATGGACAAGGTGATCCTAAAATAAATATGAAAATACAAAGGACTCAGAAGAGCCAAAACAATCTTGAAAAGAAGAACAAAGTTGGAAGACAGCCTTTGCCACAATCCTTACTACAAAACTACAGTAATCAAGACTGTGGTACTGGCATACGGGCAGACATACAGGCCAACAGAATAAAACTGCGAGTCCAGAAATATACATCTATGGTCAACTGATTTTCTCTCCAAGGGTGCCAAGACCATTCGATGAATAGGCAATGAATAGTCTTTTCACCAAATGGTGCTGGGATAATTGGATATTCACATTCAATAGAACAAATCTGGACCTGTACCTCATCCCATATACAAAAATTAACCCAGAATGGATCAAAAACCTAAACGAAAGAGTTAAAACTATAAAACTCTTAGAAGAAAATATAGGCATAAATCTTCATGGCCTTTGTTTGACTAGGCAATGGTTTCTCAGATATGACACCAAAAGCAAGAGCAACCAAAGAAAAAGCAGACTGGATTACATCAAAATTTAAAACTTTCCCTCTGCAAAAGACCCCATTAAGAGGATGAAAAGACAAAGCTACAGGCTGTGAGAAAATATTTGGAAACCATATATCTGACAAAGGACTAGTATCTAGAATGTAAAGAACTCTCAAAATTCAAGAGTATAAAAACAAACAGCACAATTAGAAACTGGGTAGAGGGCCGGCCCCGTGGCTTAGTGGTTAAGTGCACGCGCTCCACTACTGGCGGCCCGGGTTCGGATCCTGGGCGCGCACCAAGGCACCGCTTCTCTGGCCATGCTGAGGCTGCGTCCCACGTACAGCAACTAGAAGAATGTGCAACTATGACATACAACTATCTACTGGGGCTTTGGGGGAAAAAAGGAGGAAGATTGGCAATAGATGTTAGCTCAGAGCCGGTCTTCCTCAGCACAAAGAGGAGGATTAGCACGGATGTTAGCTCAGGGCTGATCTTCCTCAAAAAAAAAGAAAGTGGGTAGAAGACGTAAAGAGATATTTCAGCAAAGAGGATATATAGATGGCAAAGAAACACATGAAGACATGTTTGACATCATTAAGAAATACAAATTAAAACCATGAGATATCACTGCAAACCTATCCAAATAGCTAAAATAAAAAACAGTGACACCATCAAATTCTGGCAAGAATGTAGAGAAAGTAGATCAGTCATATACTGCTGATGAGAATCTAAAACGGTACAGCCACTATGGGAAACATTTGACAGTTTCTTAAATAATTAAATATACAAATACCATGCACTAGCAATTATACTCCTGGGTATTTATACCAGAGAAATGAAAATTTTTGTTTACTCTAAAACTGGTACATAAATGCTTACAGCAGCCTGATTCATAATAGACAAAACTGGAAACAATCCAGCTATCCTTCAATGGGTGAATGGTTAAACAAACTGTGATATATCCATACCATGGAATACTATTCAGCAATAAAAAAGGAAATACTGCTATATGAAACAACCTAGATTAAACTCCAGAGAATTAGGCTGAGTGAGAAAAGTCAATCCCAAAAGGTTACATACTGGCCGGCCCCGTGGCTTAGCAGTTAAGTGCACGCGCTCTGATGCTGGCGGCCTGGGTTCGGATCCCAGGCGCGCACGGACGCACCACTTCTCCAGC